ATAATATATATATATATATATAAGTACTGTACACCTATACTATACTTCTATATATACTATTTATATATATAAATAATTATATATATATGTATACTATATAGTATATATATCAATATATTATACTATATATATCGATATATATAAATCACTATATATATATAAATATATATTATATATACAATATATATATATATACTAAATATATTATACTGAGAAAGAATATAGTGATATACTATATAATATATATCTATATGATACTATATAATATATATACTACTACGTTATACCTGTATATATGTATCTATTATATATATCGCTATATATATATACTTATATTGTATATATTTATATGTATCATACTTTTATACTCGTATAGTATAGTATATGTAGAGTGAGTTATAGTATATGTATACTACTACCTCACTATCGTAATCCACCTATATTATATGCTATACTATATACTATTATCACTCATATATAGAATATATACTATATAATACATATATAGTAGTAATATATATATAATATATATATATCATATACCTATATATAGTATATATATGATACCATTAATATATACTATATATATACTATATATACGGCGAATATATATACTATATATTAAATATACTATATATATATAAATCATACTACTATACTATATATATAGTATTATCATATATATAGAATATACTATACTATCGCTATATGTATACTATATACTTTTTCTTTTATATAACTATAATTCTATATATATATTACTAATATATATATATTACAAATATATATATCTGATATATATAGATGAGGTATACTATACTACTATAACTATAATCATATATCTATATCATATATATATAGTATATCATATCATATACTACTATACACTATATTATATATAAACGTGTGTGTGTGTGTGTGTGTGTGATATTATAATATAATATATACTAGTATATATAATATATACTATATATATATATATATTATAATATAAGTATATATATATATTATAATTAGTATATAATAGGTAATACTACTATATATATATATATACTATTACTGTATAATATTAATCTATATATATATTGCTAAATATAGTGAGAGTGAGTATTATGTAAAATATATATTATATATATATAACATAAATAAAGTAAATAAATATATATATATATAATATATATATATCATATCGTACTAATATATATAATATATAAATATAAATATACTATATAGTACTATATAATATACTATATATATATGTTACATATACTATATGTAAATATATATATGGCTAGTATATATATGTAAAATATATATATGTTGTTACATATATATATGTAAAAATTTTATTTAATTTAAACAATGTTAAAAAGGTATATATATAATTACTATATATATATACTATATATATAATATACTACTATATATATACTATATATATAATATATTCATACCTTATTTTACATATATATATTTACATATATTATATATCCTATATATATATATAATATATTTATATTTATAACTATATACTATTAGTAGTTATATTCTATATATTTATATTTATACTATACTACTATAATATATATAATATATAGAGTAGGGTATATTGGATACGCGTATATATTTATCATATATATACTATATATATATATATATATATATATATATATATATTATACTATAGATTATATATATATTCTACATATATACTATTACATATATATATAATATATATATATATATATATATATTTACATATATAATCAATATATATATAGTATAGTATATATATATATAGTATAACCTACTATTTACACTCACTATAGTACTATATAAGTACAATCATATATATATATATAATTATATATATTTACATATATGATACTATATATATAGTATATATAATAATATATAGTATATGAGTAAATATAATATATATATTATATATATATATAGTACTATAATATACTATTATTAATTTACATATATATATTTACAAATATATATATATATATATATATATTATATAATATTACATTATATATATATATATATATATATATTATATAGTAGTACTATGTATATATTATGTAACAGTACTCATACGTAGTTCTTCCGGGTGGTACTCATGCTTTATCAAAATACTGACGCAAGTAAACTGTATATATTACATAGGTATATAATATATTACATAAATATGTATATGATATATATTACTATATATATATACTATATATAACCTGCTAAACTAATATATATACTAGGTATATATATATATCTGATATATATACTATATATATATTTACATATATGTATGATATTTTATATATATATATATATTATATATTATATATATTTATATATTTTACATATATTGTATAACCTATTTATATATATACCGTATACTAATATATTATATATATTATTGATACCAATAATATTATATATAGATTATAGTACTATATATGGTGTCTAGTAATATATATATAAATATATA